CACACACACACACACACACACACACACACACACACACACACACACACACACAGTGAATTGGGGGCAGGCAGACCGTCAGCCATGGAGGGGTGGGGGACGGGATGCAGGCGGACCGTCGGCTGCAGCACATCAGGAGGAAATGAGGACGGCAGAAGAGTGGGTTTGAAGTGGATATTTAATGTTATTGTTTTTTTAACGTCCTACAGACTTCGACATGTTAAATAAAGTTTAAACAGAGTTTTAGAAAAATCTGTAAAACATGAAAAAAATCCATGAGATTGCTCTATACGTCCCTGTACCTGCAAAATGATGGAAAATCTCTGTAAATTACGGACAATCCATCCAACTTGACATGCATGCACCAAAACAAACTGTAGGTGTGTCTCTGGTGCATTTCAGATTAAAACATCTTCATTCAGTGAAGTTTCTTACAGTAGGTAGAGTATTCAGAAATTTTACTAACAGTAGCGATACTTCATAATAATATTACGTGTATGGAACATTTTATTCAAAGCGTTACTCTGTGTAAATATAATTTTTTACATTTTTAAATTTTATTTTTAATTTATTAATTTTTTTACTAATGTATATTGCATTAGCTTCAGAGCTAATTTAGTAAACATCCCGTTTGATTGTCAACTCATATATTGTGCTGAGCAGAGAAACTAATACAAAAAATAACTTTATCACACATTAGTGATTTTTAGCCTTGACTCTGTTTTAGTCTCAGCTGTAACCTGCCAACATCATCATCATCATCATCATTCCCAAAATGCATCATGTCAGTAACAAAATGGCGACGTGCTTAAATGAAAATTGTAATAAACACATAAAACTAATTAGGATTTTTCTTGTGCCACAAACAACTTTTAGTAGAATATTGAAAAAAACACATAAAGGCTAACATACAAATGGTCAGTGATGCCTTTAACGAGCAGTTGTGATCTTAGCTTTGTTATTTTAGTAGGTTGTCTTGTCATATATGCTCTTTTCTCTCCTTTCCTTTCTGGGATTAAACAGAATCTTGAAGTTGAAGACAAAGATGCTTTGGATTTAACACAAGAGCTTAAAGAGCTGCCACTCTAAATAAGCAAAACAAAAACACATTTGATCAATATTTCTTTTTCCTTTGTATAAAATCTGTACCATGATCTCAAAACCAAGATATGTACCAAGTCATTATTTATGTGTACTGTTACATGCGGTTTTGACTGACATTTATTCCTGCAACAGTAAAATGATTTGTAAAGATTAAACTTAGAAAATTAACAGTTTATTCTTATAAAACTGTGCTCGCTAACTTAAACACCTGACAGACACAAATTGTCTGTTTGAATTAGCTGCTAGTCCTGCTCTCACTCACACAGTTTCCTCTAAGATGCAAATTGTTCAATGGTTTCCCCTCACATGTAAATGACAGTAACATTTATGTAATGTGCTTTTTTTTTTCTAACTTTAGGTTGGGAAAGATGATCTAGAGATGACTAAGACCCCCCAAGTGAACTCCAAAGCTCAGCTGAATCACCCCTTGGTGAACCAGTACAGTCTGACTCTGGGTCAGGACCTGGGCCAACATGACACCAAGTCTCTCATCAAGTGTGTGGAAACGCTGTCGTTCATAGTCCGCGACGCCGCCCACGTCACACCCGACAACTTTGAGCTGTGCGTCAGAGCCATACGAGTGTTTGTGGAGGCCAGCCTCAACGGAGGTGAGAAAAACAGACAAATGACCAAAACATAAAAGTCTCTCTGATTGGTTAATTAATAGCAAATCTGATCTCTCTTCCTGCTTTGTGTCTATACCTTTCCACCTGGCCGAGGGTTTCTCCTCCTTTCTCTTTCTTTGTCTGCCTTTCATACGTCTTTTCTTTCTTTCATTTCTTTATTTATCTCACCTTGTGCTGTTTGTGACCTGCAGTAAGATGAGGATTAGCATTGGGAGATGGCAGCGCTGCACTTGTTCTTTCATGTGCAGCTATTCATTTCCTCACAGAGCTTCAGGCTGTTGGAGCTGAGCTGTCAACAAAGCTTTACACGGTCAAACAAAAGCAACGGCCCCATCAAAGTTGAGGCACRGCACTAATCTTTCCGAGATACTAATAGAAAGTGGAAAAGCTGTTATTACTCTTATGCTTTTGTGGTTGGACTAAATGTTTTTGTTAAGACTGGACAGTTTGGGAAGTGTGCTTGTTCTGATCATCAGACTATCTGCCTTGTAATTAGATTTTGACAGGCAACATTTGACACAGTGTATAGTACCACCCARCAGAGGGAAGAATGGGAAAACGTCACCACCGTGCTTTGTTCTTTTACTGAGCAGTTTCAGTAGGTACACTTCTAATTGTCCCAATTTGTTTCCTCAGGTTACAGGAACCACGATAAGAAGAAGAGCCACAAGTATGACCCCTCCAAGTCCCGGCTGAGGAAGAAGGCAGGAGGGAGGGAGAAGGACACCGGAGGTAGCACAAGACGAGGTGGAAACAGAGCATCMAGCCAGCGACCGTCACGTTCCCACAGTGATGACGAGGAGGATGAGGGCGTCCCAGCCAGCTATCATACTGTGTCATTACAGGTTAGTCAGGACGTAAGTACCGCAACCCTCTTTACCCTTCTACCTTTTATTGATTCAGTCTCAGATGTCCCACCATGTTCACTGCAGGGTTTAAGGTCTAAAGACAGCTGGCAGTTTGTGCCRTTTATGTAATGATGATGTTGGGTTAGAGGTAGAAAATGTACAGCCTAAGGGTTTGAGAGGTTTTGGCAAAGGTAGGTTTGTGGTGTCTAGAAGGATGTCTGGGTTAGAGGATCTCGTGAGACTGAAGCCTAGTTTATCTCACCTGGTCCACAAAGTAAGAAAGTGTTGCTTAAATTATTGAAGAATGTTGATGCTGGTTCTGATGTCAGAACATACAGAGGATCACAGTTTGCTGTGAATGATGCTGCACAGCTAGGGTGTTCGTTAGGATCCAGCAGTCAAACAACAGGGATGACCTATCACTCTGATGCATCACGGAAAGAAGAGAAGTCCATGTAGACAGTGTGGTTCTTTGGACAAYGTTATGTTGGGAAATCCTTGGTCTTTTGACATGGATCAAACACTATTGCTGACAAAGTCCTCCAAACACTTAATAGAAACTGTGAAATGATTGAAAAATGGTTTGAGGTGTTTGTTTGGCCTCTAAAGTCTCCAGAGCTCAGTCCAATCAAGCATCCAGGTCTCTGCCCTGTTCCGTGGGAGTTCCGCATGGTAGCACACTGGGCCCATTGCTTTTCCTATTATGCATAAATGACCTTCCAAAAATATTGAAGTATTCAAATATTTTAATGTACGCTGATGATACTGTTCTTTTTTTGTCTGATTTCAATATTGAATCTATTAATAGTCAGTTACAAGCAGATCTTCAGACATTTCATGGTTGCTTCAAGATAATCTTTTGTCAATTAATGTTAAAAAACTGTGTGCATGTATTTTTCCTCACCCAGGAGACATTTCAGTATAACAAATCAACTCACTTTTCTAAACAAACCCCTTGATATTGTCACTACCTACAAATATCTTGGAATTACTTTGGATTCTCATTTGACTTATCGTGATCATGTACAAGTCTTAACCACTAAGTTGAAACAGAAATTATACATTTATTCAAAAATTAGATCCAATCTGACATCTTCTGTTTCAAATATCTATCTTCATGCCATTATACTCTCAACCATGTTGTACTGTTTACCTGTTTGGTCTCTTACAACAAATGAAATCTTAGAACCCATAGTTAGGCTCTACAACAGGGCCTACAAAATTCATAAAAAACTTCCTGGTTGGACTCATCACTGTACAGTTCTTTCATTGTCTGATGCCTTGACTTTTCAGAATTATGTTTTGTATAGTGGTATTAATTTATATTTTCAGATCTTCCAAGGTGCCAATTATGGAACTCTCTGTGCATTGCTGCCCAAATCAAATTCTGGAAGTGGTCATTCAACTAGATCTGTTACAAAAGGACAACTGATATTACCAACTTTTAAAAACTGTTACGGCCAGAGGTCTTTCTTCTATGTTTATACTAAAGCATGGAATGACATTCCTCAAAACATAAAGTCCATTTCAAAACTACAGCCCTTTAAGAAGAATCTTGTCTGCCATCTGCTGGACACTTTTTGTTGTGTTCATATTTAGACGTCCTATTTTGGAAATGCTGCCTTTTTGAAATTTGGTATGCTTGTTTGTCTTTGTGTCTATGGTGTATAATGATGTGATTGTGATGCTGTAATTCTGAGTGTTTTATGTGCTGCAGAACAGGAACCTGCTGTAAAACAGCAATTATGCTGAGTCAGGCTTGATTTTTAATAATCTTTTCCTGTTAAATAAATAAATCAAATCAAAAATCAAATCAATCTGTGGGACATTCTGGACAGACGAGTCCAGTTAATGGAAGATCACCTCACAGCTGCTGCTAACAGCAGACATTTAGAAGTTTATTGGAGTTCTAAGATGAAGGATTTGGGTTGTTTTAGATACAAAAGGAGGACACAAAAGCCATCAAACAGTATCTGGAACTACTTTGTTATTATCAGTTTKCTGGAGCATATCCCAAAAAACAAAATCGTGGCCATGATGTCATGACTGGATGTTGTGGGTTGAGAGGATTGAACAAAAGTGTTTTTTTAAGACGAGGTTTTTACTGAGGTTTAGCATTTGTTGTATGCTGTCTGTATATTCCTAAATGTCTGAGTGTTTCTTCCTTCCTGTTGTTTCTGTAAATTGATCCAACCTGAAAGTCCAAATCTGTTTTCACATCAAATTCATTTATTTGCTTGATTTCATCTGAGCCATCTCAGCACACTGAGCTCTTAAACAAATCATGTTAATGTTGACTCTGTGCCCTGCACAGCTGTTGGACCTGATGCACACCCTGCACACCCGGGCAGCCAGCATCTACAGCTCCTGGGCAGAGGAGCAGCGTCACCTAGAGGCCTCTGGGAAGAGGATCGAAGCTGACTCCCAGACTCTGTGGACCAGTTGTTGGTGCCCGCTGCTGCAAGGTGGGTCATCAAACATCATAACTCATGGCACATTCAAGTAATTAATATAAAAATATGTTGAAATGATGTTTTAAGAACTGTGACYAGATCTGTGCTGACTGCTTCTCTTCTGGGATTGGTTTCTCCTCTCCAGGTATTGCTTGGCTGTGCTGCGATGCCAGGCGRCAGGTCCGCATGCAGGCCCTCACCTACCTCCAGAGAGCGCTGCTGGTCCACGACCTGCAGACTCTTGATGCAGCTGAGTGGGAGTCTTGTTTCAACAAGGTACGGAGAGGGCTGACCCACACARCTGGATATTAGAAACACATTTGTATTGTTATACAGTCTGTGTACGTTTTGGTCATTCGATTTTTGTTTTTTACTTTAGTTTATTCAGTTTATTTCATTCATAAAAATAAAATCTATATACAGTAAAATAAAAGTAAAAAGTAAATCATGCAGAGTGAAGAAAAAATCTTTGATTATTAAAAAAAATAATTCAACCAACTGTAAGAAATACGTGTTT